AAAGAAAAAGAAAAAAAAAAATTCCTGTTTGTTTGTTTGTTTGCACACCCCTTTCTGATTTTCTTGCTCAAAATTTCGTGCATTCGGCTTCTTCTCCTCTGCTAGCTTCTTCACACACCCAATAGAAACGCCTAGTCATTACAGCCGTATCGGGGGCAATTTTCTGTCCAGATGCAGCGATAATGACCCCATTTTCTGTCCAGATGCAGCGATAATGACCGGGCGTTCTATTCGGGTGAAGACTGCTTCTTTCTCCAACGGCCTTTGCCGCACTACTCAACCAAATGTGTACAGGGGAGGATGAATGTATCTTCTTGGGAACATGCATATATACATACACGCCATATTTTTGGGGGGAGAATGAATGTATCTTCTTGGGAACATGCATATATATACATACACGCCATATTTATTGGCTCTCTCACCATTGGTGAGCGGAGCGGCGAGGCTCAAAAGCAAGCAAAGTACTTGGTATTACCTTTTCAACAGGTGCAGTCAAAGCTTCACTCAACTTTTGCACTTTCAGAAGCCATTTTGGGGACGAATTTAGACCGAAACGCGGTCACATGCATTCAAAATACTCGCTACTCCCTTCCGTGAGTACAGCCTGCCTGTACGCCGTGAGTGTTCCCCCTCTGGCTCATGGCCGACACCGACAGACCGAATTTTCTCTCTCTCTCTCTCTCTCTCTCTCTCTCTCTCTCTCTCTCTCTCTCTCTCTCTCTCTCTCTCTCTCTCTCGTCGAGGACGTAGTTTTAGTTTTTCAATGTACTTAGTGGATGACTCGGCGCTTGCAAGAAAACAGGAGGGACTATAACAACGAACCCCTTTTTTTTGTCTTTTATTGCGGTGGTTCGTTCACCTGTTATACTGTAAATGTGGTGTTCCATGGGAAGAACGTTATTTTTCTTGTGCTGCGTCCCATAACCCGCCCGGTTGAAGTCTGCCCAAACTCTGCACTTTTTTTGAGGTAATAATGCTGCCCTGTTGCTCCGTTTGCTGAGAATTCCAATCCCCAGTCTGTTTGCTGTGTCTCCGAATTACGTACGTTATCAGCCAATGTTGTATGCGTGCCGTACTTGCCTCCTCTCTCTCTCTGTCTCTCTGTCTCTCTCTCTCTCTCTCTCTCTCTCTCTCTCTCTCTCACGGAGGCTGAGCGATATTGGATTGCGACGCAGAAGGATGGAGAGGAGGAGAAGGACGATGAGGAGGAGCCTAACTGCAGAAGGGATTACATAAAGAAAGAAAAAGGACATGAAGGAGGAAGCAAAAGATGAGGAGGAGGGACCATGGCAATCGAAACAGAAAGCAAAATTTGACATTAATAGTAAAGCGAAAGATAAAGGAAAAAACACCATAACCTCCTTCTCCCCCTTCTCTCCCCTCCAATTTCGTCACATCGGCATCCTCAATCTTCCTACCCTCCTCTCGCCGTCATCATCATCGTCATCTAATATCTCCTTCGTCACATCAGCATCCTCAATCTTCCTACCCTCCTCTCGCCGTCATCATCATCGTCATCTAATATCTCCTCCCCCTCCTCTCCTCCCCCTCCTTCCTCTCCTCCCCCTCCTTCCTCTCCTCTTCGTGCACCCGTTTGATCTTCGCGAATCATCATCGACTCTCCATTCCTTCCCCCTTTCCCCTTTCCCCTTTCCCCCTTTCCCGTGCGCTCCTGGGGGTAGGAGGGTATTGACCCCCACGGCTTCCACATGGAACTAATCAATAGAAAGCAATGAAGAGGCCATTCGCGGCAGAGGCTGACGTGGAGGACGACGAGGGGAGGCGGAGAGAAAAGAGGACATGAAGGAGGACAACAGAAGAAACACGTGCAGGACGGAAGACAATGAAGGGAAACATAGGGAGGAAAGAATATGGTGAAGCGGAGGGGAAGGAGAAAACCTGAACTAATCAACAGGAAGCAAAATGAATCCACTAGAGTCCCCTTCGCCTTTTCCCATCTCACATCTTCCTGCCGTCAGCAGCGTCATATTCCTACCTCTCCTCCTCCCCCTTTCACCCGCTGGTAGCAAACGAAAGTACTTTTCCACCTGTCGTGTTCTCTCTCTCTCTCTCTCTCTCTCTCTCTCTCTCTCTCTCTCTCTCTCTCTCTCTCTCTCTCTCTCTCTCTCTCTGTGCGTGTGTGTGAGTGTGAGTGTGTGTGTGTGTGTTTGTGTCTGCGACACAAAGACAAATGAACAAAAATTGGCAAAAGTTGGTCGTATGAATTGAACCACGGATATTCTTGTGAGAGGTCGAAAGAAGTGGCACGCGAGGAGAGAGCGGCGGGAGTCCGAAATGACGGTTCGGACGTGAAGAAGCTGGAGGTTAGGTCGTCATGGGGGAAGAGAAATGGGTAAAGCAGATGCAGAAGGATATTGCCACAGGATGTCGAAAGATGGGGAGTCGAGGGAAAGGAGGAGGAGCAGCAGACAGGATCAGATCGCAGCTTACCTCTTTCGCTCGCGCGGAGCTGTTCACCGCTTCTTCGACGGAAGAAAGAAGGTTCGGCTCTTGGCGGTTTCCGCCATCAATCTAGACCGGCACATTGCTCATGTTTCCCCGCGGGGCTCTCTCTCTCTCTCTCTCTCTCTCTCTCTCTCTCTCTCTCTGTGTCTCTGTAACAAGCACAGATTAGATTCACCATTCACACGAAAGGTCGCCGTTGCCAAGCGTCTGCCCGCTTACTTACAGTCGCTAGGGCCGCGGTAAGAGTCCGGCCGCTTACTCACGGTCACTAGGGCCGCGGTAAGACCTAGCCCCGGGTGTCAACCTGCCGGTGCCAGAAGGGCTAATCTAGGTCCATCTCGGCCGTTGGTCCAGTGGCACCGGCAAGGCCAACGGCCTGGATAAAATCTTGGAGTAGTGCTCCGCCGGCCTACTCTGAGGAACTTCCTTGAAGAGGTGGGACAGCTGGGGACTCCACTGCCAATTTTTCAATTCGAATTCACGCTCTCGAAAGAGCCCTGCATTGTTTTTTTTTTGTTTGTTTGTTTTTTGGTTATTTATTATTGTCACTACCATTACTTTTAGGCTAAGCAGGCAGAGAGCAGTGTTGAGTCTGTAGTTCGCAGGCGTTCAGCCTGAGTAAGCTAAGGGCCTGGTTGCACTACTCTCCATAGCCCAAGTTTGGCGAGTAGGCGCCTGCTCCCCAAACTTGGTGCGAGGAAACGTGTCAGAACTTTTGCAGAGTCTCCTTCTTCAATCCGCCACAGAGTGCGGCGAGCACTCGCCCACTCTCTACTTGCTGTTTTGTGGAGGGTCATCCTCATGGTGACCCTCCACAAAACAACTTCTTGGCGAGTGCAGTGCTTCACGAGCGGAGATCAGGTAGACAATTTTTAACTACTTTTCTGTAGAATAGAAGAAATATAGTGGGGAGCGGAGTGGCATTGAGCAGAGAGTGCTGATGTTCATAGGGGGAGGGGACCCGAGGGGAGGCACAGTGATTGGCCCATCGAAGAAGCTCGGTCCTGATGCTACGGGCTGACCCCTGGCGGGGATCGCCCACCTGCTGTAGCAGGTATCGCACCTGCTGGTGGGTGCAGCTCCCGCATGTTCCCTCGTTGGAGGCACGGATGTGGCTGCTACGGGGAACCCGTAATACTATAATGACTATAAAAAAGGCCTGAAAGGCCATTCTGTCCAGATTTGACAGCTAATTGAATTGGTTGGGAAAAAAAAAAAAAAAAAACTATAGTGGAGAGTAACTGGCCTCTTTTTTTTTTTTTTTTTTTTTCTGCAACCAGGCCTCCAGTTGGACATGATTCAAGTTTTTTTTCACTCTCCGCACATCCGCAGAGTAGTGCAAATTAGGCCCTAGCTGCTTACAGTAACTAGCACGAGTTTGGTTTTGATTCCAATACAGGTGCGGCAAGGTGCGGCGGGGGGTGGCACCGTGTGACACCATTTTGAAGCTTTTTCAGGAATTCTGAAAACCTTGTAGAAAGGTCCTGCAATGATGACAATCCTCCAAGAGTTCCACCTCACCAAATGTGGAAAATGAGAATGTATTTTCCGCCTGTACATGGGAAATTACATCCCCATAGTTTTTGCCTTTAGTGTATGTGGTGAGAACCCCTAAAGGCTGTGGAGTGGAGGTCCACGCACAAAGCATCTACATGTGTGCACACACAGACACAGACACAGAGAGAGAGAGAGAAAGGGGGGGGGGGAGGCTGCAGTCTGCTCAGACTGACACACTCTTTTCACCATTCTTTTTTTCTTTCTGGCCCTTACCAAATTCCGAACTGGTTTACATCCCTAACCCATCAAAACGCCAGCCAGGAATGAAAACCCCTCCAATGCTGAGGAAGAATACCTAGCACAGTTGATGGCCAATGAGAGGATGAAAAAGATCTACCATCCTACTATTTGCAAAGGCAACAAAATTAGATCGTCCGACACAGTTGGCGCCGGGGTATCGACCCTGTAACCTGTTTAGGGGCTTGCCGCTAAGGGATTTGTCGAGGGAGGAAGGCACTTCCTGTCCGTCAGAGCTAGGTTGATCGGTACTGGGGAGGGTTGTGGTGCCCTGTTACCCTAGCAGAAGGGGGTATGAGATCAAGTGAGCTCTGGTACGTGGACTGAACGCCCAGACTGACGCCCCATCTGTTGGAAAGGGGAATTTCGGTTAGTAGGCAGTTTTAGTCTCGTCCCCCCGCTCTTATATTCTTTTAAAGCTTGTCGAATGTTCTAATTTTGGCTAATTAGATTTTCTCGTAGTTCTTAGTCTCATTTCCATGGAATTTTCTGATGAGTTTTCTGAACGTACTCGTTATGGGACGCTGGACCCGGTTTCCAGCAGGTGCTGCTCCCCACCAATAGATGGAGCTTGTTGTTGTTAAAAAAAAAAAAAAAAAAAAAAAAAAGGACCGTCGGATCCCTTTGCTATCTGCAGCTGAAAAGAGTGTCATATCTGCAGCTGAAAAGAGTGTCACACATGAACGGTCCTCGTTCCTATACATTTCTGACCGCTAGTGGGACTTGCCCCCGGGAAGTAATTTTGGGGACTCCGGCCTCAGATCTGACATATTGAATGGACGTTGAATTTTGGGAAAAATTCAAAAAAAAGCAAAAAATACATAAATAAATAAAAAACAAATATATATTGTCAAACAGAGCTGCACGGTAAACTGTAGGCAAAGAGGGAGAAGAGGACAACAATATATATATATATATACATATATATATCGTCACAAACAGAACTGCCCGGTAAACCGTAGGCAGAGAGAGAGAAGAGGACAACAAACAAGGGGTTGTGACAAACTGTTTCGTCGGAGTTTCACCGACTCATCATATATATCCTACCCCTTAAGCGCGAGTGGCCCGCGGGGGGAGGTTGTGTCCGCTGCGCGCCGGAATCGGGCCGAAGTTTTGATTCGGGCCAGCGGATGAAGGCGATCGAGGGAGGGGCGGCGTGCGTACCGAATTGTTCACAGCGCGCCAAAAAACGAGTGAGCGCGCCCATCGGGCCGGGGGGCGGTGGGCATTGATGCGAGGGAATATCTTGAAGCGCTCGCCGTTGGATAGCCGTCCTCCCTTTTTTTTTTTAACCATTTCCAGTTCCTTTTTTTTTCTTTTCCCTTTTTCCGTCGTCGGTTGGTTCCTTTGTTTTTGTCTTTCTTTTTCCGTTGCAATCTTCTGTCGTGTTCCCTTTTCCCGTCGTATTCTTCTGTCGTGCGGCCTCCCCTCTTTTTATTTTCCCCTTTTTCCGTATGCGTCTGTCGTGTTGCCTCTTCTTTTGAGTTGGCGACGACGAAAGCAAGGAGGCCCGGCCGGCGGCAGGCACGCATGCACCCACCCACACCCACCCACGCATGCACGCACCCACCCACCCACACAACACCCACGCACGCATGCACGCACCCACCCACCCACCCACACATGTTAGTATTAGTATGTATACATATATTAGTATTAGTATATACAGTATTTGAAGTTTGTGCACAATGGTTGGGTTGGGGTTTAAACCCACGCACAAATTTCGAAATACCCAATTGCCTGATGCTATAACCACTATGGTGGACTGGGTCCCTGTCTGTTTTTGGGGACCGCGGTCTTTTGAAGTGTATCCGACGTCAAGCTGCTGGCACGTCAGGATGTGCCTGTGTGTCCGAACCCTAACGTCGCGCAAGCGGGTTCGGGCCAAGCATTTTCAAGCCTAAAGTTTGACGATTTTTCATGCTCAGAAAAATTGGCAAAAAAATCGAAAAATTTGATTTCCTGTAGATTAGGCCGTGATCTTTTCAGGAAAAATATCAGAAAAATTAAAAAAAAAAACAAATTTAAACCACTAGTACCTTTGCCGCTTGGAAAATAGCGGGCCTTGGGCAGGCATCCGACCTTTGGAGCGGCCGAAACGAAACGACGGGCGCCGATCAGATTTATCAATGGCAGTCGTCGTCGGGCCCGACCTCCGAAAATTCAGGCGCTTGGGAAAACTGCCAGTTTTCCCTATTTTCCCACGCGGGAAAGGTACTGTGAAGTAAATGCCGCACTGTTTTGTCACATTTTCTATTTTTGCTACTCTACCACGTATGGGCCAATGGGAAAAGAAACCCAACTTTCGCGATTTTTGGCAATCAGAAGGATGACCCAACAACTCTGAAACTTTGAGGGTCTATAGATTTGGTCCTGATCTTTACAGGAAAAATATTTAAAAAAATAAAAAAATTCATTTCAACCATGAAATAAATCGCGGGGGTAATTCAATGCAAATTTCAAAGTTTGCCACTCTGCCAGCTCCCCCCACTGTACTACTGGTAGCCCTCATGGACCTGTGGTCCTGTGCTACCGGTTCCCCCTAATTTTTTTATTTTTTTTTTAAAGGGCAGCAGTCTTTAGATATATCCACAGGTGACCAGGGGCCTGGAGGGACATCCCACTAACGATGTATGTGGAGTGGTGTGACGGTTGCGGGACTGACTTGGAATGACATGTATAGGTGCACATCATTTCCCACTGTCATCAGCAGCTAGGATCAAACAAACGATTTCAATGTTCAGGGACGCTGGACCCACTTTCCAGCAGGTGTTGCTCCCCACCAATAGATGGAGCCTCCCCGACGGTGGAATTGCAAAGTATTGCAAAGTAAAGAACCCGCCAGCAAAATCCATGCGTTACTTTGACAGCCTCATCATGAAAGTGGAGTAGCAGCAGCACACTTCACAGACAAGTCAATCACGAGAGGAAAAAAAAAAAAAAAAAAAAAAAACAAACTACTGTGTTATGGAAAGTGGCGGCCTCGCGGCCTCCACTTTTCCCGCAATTTTGCAGGGAAAACCACCTGCGGCCTAACGACGAACACCCCAAGACAAAAACGAAAATAAAAAAAAATTGGACTGTGTTATGGAAAGTGGCGGTCGCCACTTTTTTTTTTTTTTTTCCTGCTTTTTGTTTC